TGTTAAAACACAGAGATGGGAGCCGGGCGGTGGTGGCGCACGCCTTTAATCCCAGCACTCGGGAGGCGGATCTCTGTGAGTTCGAGGCCAGCCTGGGCTACCAAGTGAGTTCCAGGAAAAGGCGCAAAGCTACACAGAGAAACCCTGTCTCGAAAAAAGCAAAAAAAAAAAAAAAAAAAAAAAAAAAAACACAGAGATGGGGCCAGCCAGATGGCTCAGTGGTTAAAGACACTGCCCACCAAGCCTGACAACTTGAGTTCTATGCCCAGCACCTATAGGATGGAAGGGAAGAGCCGACTCTCACAAACTGTCCTCTGCTCTCCATACGCATGCTGTGGCAGCACAGGTATACACACATCCACTCACTAGAGTGGGGCTGGAGAGATGGCTCAGCGGTTGACAGTGTGCTGCTCTTGCAGGGGACCTGAGTTTGATTCCCAGCACCAAAGTGGGTAGTGACACAGGACTATAATCCCATCGGAAGCTGAAGCAGAAGGACTGGAAGTCGAACCACTAACTGGTGACTAGGGTTGAAATTTTAAAATGGGATACTGCTAGGAAACACTTGTCTTGGTTTGCTTTCCGTTGCTGCGATAAAACACTGACCAAAAGCAACATGGAGAGGCAATGTTTCATTTGCTTTACACATCCAGGGGCACAGTCCACTGAGGGAAGCCAAGGCAGGAACCTGGGACCAGGAACTGAAGCAGAAGCCATGTGAGAACTCTGCTTACCGGCTTGCTCCTCGGGCTTGGCCAGCCTGCTTTCTTATGGAACCCAGGGCCCCACACAGTGAGCAGGGCCCTCCCATATCAACCATTAATCAAGACAATACCTCACAGACTTGCCTATAGGCCACTCCAATGGAGGCAATTCCTCAAATGAGATTCCCTCTTCCCTTATAGGTCTAGATTTGTGTCAAGCTGACAAAAATGTGCGTTAATCAACACAATGTGTTGGGGGGCAGGGATGCATTTCACTATGAGCTTGATTCCATAAAACTGAGGGGATTAGAAATGGAAAACAAAAACAAAAATCAAACAACAACAACAAAACTCCAGCACTATCTTTAATTCTATATCATACCATCCTTTCACTTGATAATTAAGTAGCTCTGGGTTGACAGGGATGTATGCTGCATTTACTATTTAAGATATTAGGAGCTGCATGTAAAGACCAGACTTCTGAATGGAGGGCTCAGGTATACTGGAACTGGTGTCAGGGAAACGCTAGGAACAGGCTTGAAGGTAACCTGAACTTGGGCTGCTAAGGAAACAGCCCTGGAGTAATGACTCTTGGGTTAACAAGCTGAGGAATGTACTGGGACTTGTTAGACAGGCTCTTACACACTTGTAAGAGAAAGGTCAGAAGAAGCCATGTCAACGGGAGTGCTCTGTGGCACCGATGGCTCTTCACCCAGGTCAGAGAGGATAGTCAGATGCAGGGCATACATATTCTGGAGGCACTGAAGCTGGGGCACGATGGCATGTGACTGGGCATAGAATACGGAAATGTATGCCATGTCTGTATTCTGGCCTCCTGAGCAATGCTCCTGGTACTCCTGCATGTGAGCACTGTTTACAAGATTCTACCAGTGGCAGCAGTGACCCCGGCCTCTGACTGCTAGGCCAAAAGCAATGTGTGGCACCAACCAGGCCCTCCACACCGGTGAAGACAAGTTAAGACACACAGAGAGCAGGCTTAGTAAACATTGCAGATGGCTACTACATCCTGACCTCCACCCCGACCACAAAGCTTTGGAAACAATGGTCTCTGGAGGACTGGAATTTTCTCAGGCGTCTCACACTGGAAGGGAAAGGCTGAAGCCTGGTTCCACCAGAGGGGAGGCCAGTCTCCTGGAAAGAGAATCCGCTCAGCTCTGACTTGTCAGAACACCTTTCGGGAGAGACCGATGCTCAACCAATGCTGAGCCAATGCTGCACACCTTGACCAGAACTGCCTAGCTAAGCACACTTCCTAACCTTTTACTTCAACCTAAACCTTGGGGCTGACAGATGTCTCGGTAGTTAAGAGCAGGGCCCAGGTTCAAGTCTCAGCACCTACATGGGGGCTCACAACACATCCAGTCACAGGGCATCCAACACCTTCTTCTGGCTTCTGAAGGTACTATATGCACGTAGTATACAGAGGCACACAAAATACCCCTACATGTAAAACAAAGGGATATATATAGATCCCTCATAACAGGCCCTAAAGGCAGATGTGGTGGAAGGGGGTATATGTGGCTTTTTCACTATCATCTGTCTGTCTAATTGGTCTATTAAGGACCAGTGGCTGTCTGGCTTGTTAGTGCTGCCACTGCCCAGGCTCCTACCATAAAAACACCAGCATCATTACCGTCAAAGAAATAACACATGCTGTATCCCAAAAATCAAAAACAGAATGTTCTAAAATAAGAACATTCCGAGCTCTGGGTTAAAATAACCACAACCAAAACTTCAATCGGACTCGGATACAGCTCAGTGGCAGAGCACTTGCCTGGAACATGTGTACCCTGGGTTCCATTCCCCAGCACCAGAAAAAAAGGATGGAGAGGAAAGCAGGGAATGGGGGGAGGGAAGGGGAGAAAGAGGAAGAGGAGGCGGTGGTGGTGATGGTTATCTTTTTCTCAGAAAGAAAAAGGAGGGCCTAGAAGAGATGGTTAAGGAACTCTGCAGTCAAGCTTGGCAACCCAAGTCCAAGCCCCATTCCTAGGACCTAAAAGGGTGGAAGGAGAGAACCAACTCCCTCCAGCTGTAATCTGACTTATACATAAAACACATATATGCCTCCAGAGTGCTGGGATTAAAGGTGTGTACCACCACTGCCCAGCTTAAATAAAAACTATAAAAGGAAAAAATTCTGCTAGGAACTAAGGCTATAGCCCAGCCATAGCAGAGCAGGACATAGAAAAAGGCTCTGGACTCAACCTTCAGCATCAATAAATAATAAATAAATACATCGCCTGTTTATGTGATTTTGGAAACAAACCACAGAGAGCAGAGAAATAGCGTGAGATAAGTGTTTTCCAGAGCAACACGATTCTATATTCCTTAGAAGGACTTTTCAAAGCTCCTTGGGGCTGGAGGGAGGCACAGCAGTAGAGAGCACACAGTGCTCTTGCAGAGCTCAGTTCCCGGCAACCATGGCAGCCGGCTCACAACCACCTGCAACTTCAGCTCCAGGGGATCCTATGCCCTCTTCCGGATCCATGGACACTGCACACACATGCATGCTTTGTTGCTGTTTAAGCTCCTCAAACTAGCTGGGCTTGGTGGCGTGTGCCTTTAATCCTAAAGTTCTTTCTACTGCCCAGAGGCAGGTAGATCTCTGGAAGTGTGAGGACTACTTTATCTCCACAGTGAACTCCAGGCCAGCCAGGGCTATTCAGTGAGACACTGCCACAAAAATAAATAAATAATTAAGTAAGTAAGTAAGTAAGTAAACCCTCAGTAAAATAGACGATTGAAACTTTGGGATACTGGGGGGAAAGCAGAAAGTGAGGAATCACACCAAGGAGTAGCAATCTGCAAGGCACGAGACATCTTTATCAACAATGCTGATATCCCAGAAAGAAAACAACAACATAGATTTAAGTTAAAGATTCTGCAAGGCTGGTGGACTAATTAAGACTCTCTTACTGTGGAGAGTTAGAATGTTAACGATCCAGGGACACATTATCTTGGGCTATCTTTAGCTCCCATTCACTGCCCACTTTGCATTTGACCTGACATCCTTTCAACGGGTGTCAAACCTTTGCATTGTACTGACTTAGCAGACCACGAGGTCCCTAGTTTTCCCCGTGCGCTGTAAGCTACCTAACTGATGGTCCCCTTGACCTAAGACTTCGTTCTGTTTGCTCAGTTGGAACTTGTCACCCAGGGGGAAATGAATCCGTATTCTGGGGCCATGGTAATCACCCCTATTTGTTTAAGAACCAACCACCACATTCCCCTTGAGGCAAGAGGCAGGTTTCGCACTGCAACATCAAAATTACCTCCACAGACACTGTCTTAGTTTCCACTGTTGTGATAAAGCACCATGACCATAATGACAACTTGGGGGGGAAAGGGTTATTTTGCTCAGAGTTCCACATCATAGTCTATCATCAGAGGGAGGAAGAAGTTTCTTCAGGGACTCTGACCTTGCCACGTTTCAATTTCTCTCCATGATCTGTTCAATCCCTGGGCATCTACTGCCACGGAGGCTGTACCTTTACTAACGGCCTTTCCTGACTTCTCACAATCAAAACAGGAACTCAAGGCAGAGACAACGGAGGAGTGCTGCTTACCATCTTGCTCCTTGGTGGCTCGCTCAGTCAGTTTTCTTACACAACCCAGGACCACCTGCCAGGGGTGGCACCATCCCCACCAATCACTAAGCAAGAAAATTCCCTTCAGATTACTGACAGACAATCTGATGGGGACATTTTCTCAACTGAGGTAACTCTTCCTAGGTAATTCTTACTTGTGTCAAGTTTACAAAAACCGACCAAGGCAACTGACCACTTGACACACAAATAGAACACTATGAAACCATAACCTTCCCTTTCTCATTTGTCCTCAAGGTCTCACAGTAACATCAACCGCACAATATAAAACATTTCAGTTTCTTTTTTTTAAAAGATTTATTTATTTATTATGTACACAGAGGAGGGAGCCAGATCTCATTACAGATGGTTGTGAACCATCATGTGGGTGCTGGGAATTGAACTCAGGACCTCTGGAAGAATAGTCGGTGCTCTTAACCTCTGAGCCATCTCTCCAGCCCACATTTCAGTTTCTTAAAGGTCTTACATTGTCATTAAAACTTCAACAGTTAAAAGTCCAAAGTTTCATCTGCCGGTCGGTGGTAGCCCACGCCTTTAATCCCAGCACTCGGGAGGCAGAGGCAGGCGGATCTCTGTGAGTTTGAGGCCAGCCTGGGCTACAGAGTGAGTTCCAGGAAAGGCGCAAAGCTACACAGAGAAACCCTGTCTCGAAAAACCAAAAAAAAAAAAAAAAGTCCAAAGTTTCTTAAATTATTCAAAGTCTCTCTAAAAATCAAGTCTCAGATATTCCAAAGTCTCTTATCTATGGGCTTATCTATGGGCTCCACTTAGTTATGGATCCTGTAACAGGACGTACAATGACGTACACAATACCTAACAGTGACACACGGGGATAAACGATGGAGCATGTGGCACTCAGCATGCCAAGCAAAGACAGAGAAATATTTCTGTTCTTTCAGAGACTGATTCGGTCATGTACCGGGGTACTTTCCCCACCCCTAAGGTGGGTATATTATTTTTCTCATGGCTCTAACAAAATAATTGACAAAGGCTGTTGAAGGAGGGAAGGGTTTATTTCAGGTTCCAGGTGGAGAGGACAGAGTCCATCGTGACAGGGAAGTCGTGGCCGTGGGGACGTGCAGCACCTGGTCACACTTCATCTGTTGTCAGGAAGCAGAGAGAGAGAGAGACAGATGCTGATGCTCAGCTCAGTTTCTTACTCAGTCTAGAATCCCAGCCCACTGGGTGGTGCCATCCACATTTAGAGTGGATTTTCCACGTTAGTTAATCCAGTCTACCAATCTAGAAACTCCCTCACAGGCAAGCTCAGAGACCTGTCTCCCAAATGATGCTAGATCTTGTCAAGTTGACAGTCGGTATTAATGATCACAGTGTGTGTGTTTAAAATTGACTCTCAGGCTGGAGAGCTGGCTCAGAGGTTAAGAGCCCTGACTGTTCTTCCAGAGGTCCTGAGTTCAATTCCCAGCAACCACAAGGTGGCTCACAACCACCTGTAATGAGATCTGGTGCCCTCTTCTGGCCTGCAGGGATACGTGCAGGCAGAACACTGTATACATAATAAATAAATACATCTTGAAAAAGATAAAATAAAATTGACTCTCACAGTACATTTAATTTGCTGTAGAAACAGCTACCTTGGGTTGAGTCTTTCCTGTCAGGCAAGGTGTCAAACACTTGTATGTTATTTCAGTCATATTTTCCATAATCTTGTCAAGCAGATGGTATACCTTCATTTCACAGATGAAAAAGCAAGGCCCAGAAAGCCAAGTAAGCAGCTGCCCAATGTGATGAATTGAGACAGGATTTGAACACAGGCCTTCTGGGTCCCAAGTCTATACTTAGAAACATCAGTCTTGATGAATTTAAAAAATATATATGATCATAATCATGTTTACTGACTTTCAGTTGCAATAACACAGTCACTAAGATTCCTCCCTCCAATTTGAAAGCAATGAGAATTATTAGAAAATGAAGTACAAATAGGTAGATTTCATCTAGGTTGGGTTTTTTTTTGTTTTTTTTTTTTTGGTTGGGTGGTTTTTTTTTGGTTGTTGTTTTGCTGTATATCTTGTTTTTGTTTTGTCAAGTTAAAACACACTAGAGTTACCTCGGAAGAGGAACCTCAATTGAAAAAAAGCCTCCATCAGACTGGCCTGCAGGCAAGTCAGTCTGGCATTTTCTTGACTAAAAATTGATGTGGGAAAGCCCAGACCACTGTGGGTGTGGCTACGGAGCGGATAGTCCTGGGTTGTACAAGCCACTACCAATCTAATTACACCTTTCCTCTCTCAGTCTGTACTGTGTAGTTTTGGGTAGTTGCTGACACTAATCAAATAATTCTTTAATTTGTCTGCCATCCACTAATGCAGAAGAAAGGCTGGAGAAAAGAAAGATGTCACATATGACTACAAGTTAAAAGCACAGTCGAGCTTTCAGGAGTCAGGGAGAACCGACCTCCCAACCTACCCATTCACCCATCTCTAGACAGTGCTCCAGGAGCAAATTTCTGTGTAGCCACTCTGGCAGGACTGGGGACGAAACCAATCAGTCAAAGAATGTGCTGTTTTACAGGATATGCTTTAAACAAACAAACAAACAAACAAAAACTCAGCAAAACAAAACAAAAAAGTTCAGCTTTCACAAAAGGTTAAGACAGTTCATAACACTGTAAGCCTAACTGCTTACTGTTGCGAATGCTATGTACAGCTTTACGTTGGAAAGTTCCTTACAGGTATGAAGTCATACAAACGTTAACTAAATGCATGGTAGCAGGAAGCCACCACCCATATGACACAGTACGCACAGATATGACATTATAACAATAGCGAATGTCAAGGGATAGGAAGAGCCTATGGGAGCACTTTTATACTCTACATTTTAAGGACACGTTTGTAACACGTACTGTAGAAAGGAACCTTTACACATCCCTGGTCATGGTTTGCTGTTCTGAGTTAACCCCTGGTCCAGGCAGCACCAGGAGAAACACTGGACTTGGCAGCCTGAAGAATGGCCAAACCCAGTTCAAGAGAGGCTGCCATGAGGAAGTGCAGACATTAAGGAGGACCGCAGACACCATAAACTTCAGGGACTAGGCAGACCTCCTGACCAGAGGGCCAAGACTAGAATGGTAGACTGCCTCTGTTTCCCCCCTCGCCATATCAGCCGCTGGCTGCAGCTGACTTAGCAGAGGGTGTTCAAAGGTATGAACACCGCCTCCCTCTCAGGTCACTGGCTCTCTGCATAAACTACAACTCAAAGGTTCAGTTTCCAAGGATAGAGAGGTAAGAGATAGAAAGGGGTTGGGGCAGACAGACAGACAGACATAGTGAGAGAGAGAGAGACATTGATTTCATAAATGCAGTCTTTATTATCAGGGAATTGACTTACAAAACTGTGCTAACACCCTTAATTTACTGAACACCTACTATGTGTCTGACAGGAAGACACCTTCACAGAGTTTTGATTCCTGCCCTGAGGAAGATCAGTGGGTAATCTCTCACACACAGAACAAACATCACTGACACTACATAAACCCAGGCAAGCACCTGGCTAGCACTTGGCTAGAGGCTCTCTACCCAAGCCACCTGTCCTAACCATATCCTGCTGACCACCCTGAGTCAAAGCTTCCTGGGCCCAGGAAACACTCAGAATCCCCTAAGGAAGGAACCAGCACCAACAGTACCCCCACCTACATGCCCTTCTTCACTGAGAAGGCAAGCCCACAGCACAGGCTGGTGGACACACAACCATGTTTGGTCAATGATTCCTTCAGCAAACACTCATCACCCTGGGTAAGCAGCCATAAATCCCAGTTGCTACCTTACCATTTCCTGTAAAGTGGGACAAGTCATTTCCTGTACTGGTTGCCTCAAAGACCACAAGAGACAAGCCTTCCTCTCCTGGTAAAATGGAACGCGCGCGCACACACGAACACACACGCACACACAGCTTCTTTGGAGTGTGTTCTGAATTAGCCACGTAGTCTCTCGAATCCGTGACCTTTCCCCCTATATTCTAAAACACTGGGAATTACTCCACTCCTTTATGAAGTCTCTTTGTAAACCACTCTGCATCTGAGAGTTAGAGACAACAATTTCTGCTTCCCCCCAATAAAAACCCCTGACCTCCCAAGGTCTCTAGCTGGATAACAATGAACTGTACCAAAAAGGAGTTACGCTTGTACAATCAAAACACCTGAACCTAAAGACCGTGTAAGACCACACACCATGAAAGCGCAGGAGAATAGGGGGCCCGCCAAAGATGGGCAACGGCAGGCGGAAGGTAACCAGAGGGTCTTAGTGAAGCAGCAGTGGTCCCCTGTGGGGGCCACAGGGGCCAGGGAGAGCCCATCCTCGGCAGAGCGCCCCCACCACCACCTCACCCGCCATGGGTGGAGAAGGGGGGGCCAGGACTAAGCGGCTCTACGGAAGATACCATTAGGATAGGGGACACTGGAGAAGGGATGCGCTGGGTTGGGGAAGACACAACCAGGGTGTGGGCCTTTAGGGAACGCGGAAAGGACCCTGGGGGAAGGGAAGGGGCACGAGACTGGACCAGACATAGGCAGGGAAGGATAAGATTAAGGAGGGGAAACTGGGGAAGTCCGCAGGGACCCAGGGAAGGGGGGGGGGGGACGCTAGGCTAGACAAAACATTAGGAAAGACTACGCGAGGAAGACAGATCAGGATGGAGACAAGGAAGGGGAAAGGGGGAAGAGACAGAGACTTGGAGGTGGGGGGAAGGAGACAGGAGATGGTGGGGATACAATCAAGATTCTGGAGGTGCGGAGGCAGAGGCTGAGGTAAAGCAATCAGGATACGGACAGCGGAGGAAAGGCAGGAGCCGGCGGGGGGCGCGGATTCAATCAGAAAGGGCGACACTAAGGGAAGGGGGAGGGGCGTGGGTCAGAATGGAGACACTCGAGAAAGGAAAGGGAGCAAGACCGGGGGAGGAACTTTGGGGAAGGGAGAAGGAACAGGCGCTGAGAGGGGTCACCGAAGAAGAGAGCAGCGAGGACTTGAGGCTGAGCAAGTGGGCGCGGCCAGCAAGGTTGGAGCTCCCCAGAGCCAGGCTTGGAGAGGGGTGTCGGCGAAGCGGGTTACCCCGGAGGGGCGTGGAGCGGGGCCAGATGGGGTACTCCGACAGGGGAGGTCCAGGGAAGGGGTCGCACGCGGGCGCAGAGGGGCACCGCGGGCACAGTCACCTGCGAATGTCCAGGCCGCTAGGCAGGGATCGGGCTGAGAACGCAAGGTCGCCGGCTTCTTCTGCTCTTAGCTGAACGCGCAAGTCCAGGTCCTGCGTCACCGCCTCGTACGCATGCGCGGGAGGCAGGTGCCCGCCGGGATGCAGGGCTGGAGCCTGAAGGATTGCTTTTAACCGGGGCTTAGTTGGCAGCTCGAAGGCGGTTCTAAGCATCCTGATCTTGGTCTCTACACACAGAGCTTCGTAGAGAAGTGCGTGGCCGCCGGACTAGGGCAAGCTGAGCCTGGAACACCCCGGAGCCAGAAATGAGGACATGCGTGCTCAAAAGCTGAAAAATGGAGATGTCAAAACTGAAACAGCAACCAAGGACCAAAGCTGGGTGTCGTCGCAAGAAGTCACATAGGATTATTATAGCTTAAAATATAAAACATATAAAGAAATGAATGAGGAAGGATTTGGGACTATAATCCCAGAACTAGGAGGCTGAGTCAAGAGGTTCATGAGTTTGAGGCCAGCCTGAGCTACATAGCCATTGTCACAAATGCAAGTAAACAAACAAATTCATTAGGAGGGCATGGTGGTACACAACTGTAATCGCAACACTTGGGAGCTCCAGGCCAGTCTGGGAATTCTTGAGATCGCATCTCAAAAAACAACAACAACAAAAAAAAAACTATCATACTGTTTGAATGATAGTGCCTCGTGTGTCTCATATTGTTTCTAGGTTGTTTGTATCTCAAACAATGAATTGGACAAGACATAGAAGTAATGAAGGTGTACATTTATTTTAAAAGAAAAATGTGTAGAATATACTCCCCAGAATGGGAACAGGCCTGAGCAAGCATAAGACCCAAGACCTCCATGTCCTTTTGGAGCATCCTTTTTTATGAGCTTGGGTAAAGGGAGGAGCAGATTCCCTGGATGAAAATTAGGTAGACCCCCTACCGTGATTGGCAGATGGGCTTAATGTTAAATAGCTTTGGACCATCTTTAAGTTGGTGGGTTGTATATCCTCTAACTTTAAGCATGCGCATATGCCCCCCCCCCCTTGTGCTTATACGTGAGACAGTAAACATAATCCTTTAATAGTTTGGTTCAAGGAAACATTTGCCCTCGCAGCTCTTACACCCCGAAACTGTTTTAAGATGGACTTGTTTATCTGCCCTTCTACTATGAAATGCCCGACCCCAAATTACCTACAGAAGAGGAGAGGCTGGGTGCTGCCCCAATGGGGACAGAGACAGAGGAAAGGTGCTTGCTGATCATCAGGCAGTCCCTGTGCTCACCTGAATCAGTAGAAGTATAGACGCTGTGCTGGCTAGTTTTTGTGACCTTGACACAAACTAGGGTCATTTGGAAAGAGGAAACTCCAACTGAGGGAAAAAAACAAAACAAAAACAAAAAAACAAAAAAAAAGTTCTTAGTGACCGACCGACCTCGAAGATCTGCCCAGTGGAAGACAGCAGACAGCGTGGACCTCTCCACCCTTTCCCCAAGCCTCTGAATAAAGTGTTTTGACTCTAAAAAAAAAAAAAAAAAAAACCTCCATCAGAGTGACGCATGGATAAGTCTGAAAGGACCAAGCAGATGCCATAACAGGCTGCTCAGTCTTCTCTCAGAGATCAGGCCTCAATTTCAGTTTCCTGAGACTTGAGCAAGCAGTTTCTGGGAGGGCCATGAACAAAAGACTGCTCAAAGTTTAGCCAGATGTTTACTTTCTGGGGCCCCTCACCAACTTAGAGTTATGTGCAGTACGTGCTTGACCAGCCAGCCCCCATGGTGGCTCAAGGACAAAGCCTGGGACTTGTGCTGGACTGCCCCCAAAGTAATAAATTGTAACCACCAACCAGTAAATTCAAAGGTTACATACCCTCACCCAATTAAAAGAGAACAGAGATAAAGATAAACCAATCCGAGTTACACCCGTGCAAAACTCCCCCAACCCCCCTGAAGGGCTTGTGGATTTTGCCTTTAAAAAGCTAGCCACACAAAGAAAAAGCAAGTTCCTCCTGGCCTCACGACTACGAGTGAGTGCTTTGGATCGAGCTTCCCTGTCCGCGGCTTGTAAACAGAAATAAACCATGCTAATTGCATTCTGAACCTAAGGTCTGTGGCGGTTTGTCTTTGGGGTCCCAATCTGGGCATAACAAAGTCTATGGAGGCATTTTCTTGATTGATAACTGATACTGAGGAGCCTATCCTGCTATGGGTGATGCAATCCATGGGCAGGTGGTCCCGGCTTGTGCAAGGAAGCAGGTCAGGAAGTAAGCAGTGTTCCTCCATGGTCTCTGCTTCAGTTCCTGCCCTGGCTTCCCTCAGTGATTGACTGTGATCAAGACATGCGAGTCAAATAAAGCCTTCCCTCCCCAAGGTGCTTTGAGTCATAATTTTTTCACAGCAATAGAAAATGCAGATTTTTTTTCTTCTTCCTACTTTCCTGCATCTACTGAATTTTCTCTTCATTTTAAGTTTTATATGTACGTATACACACACACACACACACACACACACACACACACACACAAACACACACACACGTCTGTATGAGAATATGCGTACATAGTGCAAGTGCCCACTGAGGACCAGTACTCTTAACTGTCCAGCCATCTCTCCAGCCCTACAAATTTTCTTTAATGAAGATAGATAGATAGATAGATAGATAGATAGATAGATAGATAGATAGATAGGTAGATAGATAGATAGATGATAGATAGATAGATGATAGATAATTTAAATAATAGGAAGGTAACTTAAATACAGGAAAAAGTAGTATTTGAATACAGATTGATATAAATACAGGTTCCAGGGACTGGTGAAGAGGCTGCAGTGTCTGCTAATAAGTTTTCTGGCTTTAGTGAAATTGGCTTTGTGTCCCAGTTCCCTGCCAAGACAAGGAGAAGGAAGGGCCACTGTGGGTGAGTGAGCACGGGCACCTGCTCTCAGGTTTGCTGTAGGTGAGTGAGCATGGGCACCTGCTCTCAGAAGGCCCGCTGTGGGTGAGTGAGCACGGGCACCTGCTCTCAGAAGGTCCACTGTGGGTGAGTAAGCATGAGCACCTGCTCTCAGAAGGCCCACTGTGGGTGAGTGAGCATGAGCACCTGCTCTCAGAAGGTCCACTGTGGGTGAGTGAGCACGGGCACCTGCTCTCAGGTTTGCTGTAGGTGAGTGAGCATGGGCACCTGCTCTCAGGTTTGCTGTAGGTGAGTGAGCATGGGCACCTGCTCTCAGAAGGCCCACTGTGAGTGAGTGAGCACGAGCACCTGCTCTCAGAAGGTCCACTGTGGGTGAGTGAGCACGGGCACCTGCTCTCAGGTTTGCTGTAGGTGAGTGAGCATGGGCACCTGCTCTCAGGTTTGCTGTAGGTGAGTGAGCATGGGCACCTGCTCTCAGAAGGCCCACTGTGAGTGAGTGAGCACGAGCACCTGCTCTCAGAAGGTCCACTGTGGGTGAGTGAGCAGTCACTCTAGCCCACATGTGTCTGTGCTGAAAGTTCAGCTTCTAGTCTAAGCGCAACAGGGGGCAATGAGGAGCCACACTGGAATGCATACACACTCAACTGCCTCTGTGGCCTTCAGTTTAGGCAAATTACCTCATGACTAGCCCCACTTCCTTGTTTACCTCAGTTATTAGGTAAGAAAGTGGGGTGAGACATAGTGGTGGATACCTGTGGTTTTAGTACCTGGAAGGCAGAGGTAAGAAGGTCTAGAGTCTGAGGTCCCTTCAGGAAGGGACAAGATAGAGATTCCCGGGCTCAACTACACATTGTAAATTTAACTGGAATTTTACTTTCTCAAAAACGTTGCAATCTGGGACCTGTGAGATGGCTCTGTGGATAAAATGCTTGGCGAATAAACCTGAGGACCTGAGTTGGGAAGAAGAGAAAGAACTCCACAAAGTTGTTCTCTGGCCTTTACGTGCACATCTTGGTGTGCTCGTGCACGTCACAAATACACACACAATAATAACAATAAATATAATAATACACCTTTGCCTCCAGCTAGATGGTTGATGTAAAAACATCATATTTTCCTATCAACTCTTTATTTCATACAATTCACAACAAGTGAATTGACTAGGGAAACATTAAAACTCTAAAAAGTGAGTAATGAATTCATAAGTAAGTCATTAACAGAAGAGAAAGTGCGAGTGCAGCCAACATTCTACAAAAATAAACATAGTCATAATCTAAAAAAAGATAGTGAAAATTCAACATGTAAGAAGTCAGATAAACTGATGACTAGAAATCCTGCTTGTATATCTGTAAGTTGGTACAATTCTTCTGGAGAAAATTTGATAGTTTCAAAAGCTTTAAACTAGTTCATCTTGATCAGGCATACCCACACCTGTATTCTTACTTTAGAAGATGCAGGAAGATCAAAAGTTCAAGGCCAGCCTCAGCTAAATAATGAGTTTGAGGCTATTCCAGGCTATATGAGACCCAAACAAACAAACAAACCTACAAATCCATTTCTTCAAATCACCTGTTTGGGCTGGAGAAGATTAAGAGTGGGTACTGCAGCCAGGTGGTGGTGGCACACGTCTTTAACCCCAGCACTCAGGAGGCAGAGGGAGGTGGATCTCTGTGAGTTCAAGGCCAGCCTGGTCTACAGAACGAGTTCCAGGACAGGCTCCAAAGCTACACACTGAAACCCTGTTTCAAAAAACAAACAAACAACAACAAAAGCGTGGGTACTGCTCTTCCAGAGGAGCTCAGTTTAGTTCCCAGTGCCCAGTTCCCAACTTCCCATTACTTCAGTCACAAATGATTTGACATCCGCTTCTGGACTCTGAGGGTACCTGCACTAATGTAAGCATGAACTTCTGTGCCCCCCATACAGATGTACAAATAATTAAAACTAGAAAAACCGGTGATTTGATTTTGAGATAACTATCCACAGTACATGAAAACTCCAGTCAAAAAATTGTTTACAAGGATTTATATCATGAATGTAATAAATGGAAATCAAAACAGCCATAGATACAATTTAAAACTTAAAAGCAAAAAATCTTAAAGTCCATAGCAAGTACGACAAATATATGAAGCTATCAGAGCTCATATCTTATTGGGGATAGCATAGCTATCCTGAAAGCACAAACACCGTGAAGAGTAGTTTTACATTTCATTGTGATTGTGGGGAGGGGAGGGCGCATGCCCACTGCAGCACACATATGGAGGTCAGAGGACAGCGTTCAGGAATCAGCTCTTCCACTGTAGGCTCCAGGGATTGAGCTAAAGTCGTCAGGCTTATACCGTGGATGCTTTTACCAGCTGAGCTGTCTTGTCGGCCCTAGACTGTAATTTTTAATAATGGCTGTGCTTGGGAAATGACAGAAATGCATCCTCAGGCTCTTACAACCATGAGCTTCCTTGCCTGTCTCCTAGCGATGGGTGCCCTGGAGCCTTGTTTCAGGTGGTAATCAGCCAATTGTTATGAGCATTTCTGTACAAATCTTTGCAGGAATGTATGATTCCATTTTTTCTGCAGCACAATTTGTAGGGTGAGTGTGTAGATGTATGTTTAGTTTTATATGAGACAGCCAGACTTTATCCTGAAGGACTGACACTCTTTGTACTTCCAGAAAAATATGAGATTTTTATTTTACATCTAATTGTAGATACATTGACATGATTCAAAGCTATAAAGAAAACCCTCATGAATATTATCTTTCTTCTGATTTTCCCCCTACACACACTTGCTCAGGTCCCACTTTTATGAGGGGACAGGGTTCTGTGCAGGCAATCAGTGCTCACCTGTGTGGGGGTCTATCGTCGTGTGGTGGTATAGATGTCCCTGAGGCTCAGGTATTTGAACATTTGATTCCTATTCCTTGGTGACACTGTTTGAGCAGGATATGGAACATTTAAGAGGTTCAGGTTTTCTGGAGGAACTACGTCATTGGGGGCTGGGTTTAAGTGTTTATAGCCTAACTCTGTTTCCAGTTCACCCTCTGTTTTGTGTTTGCAGATGGAGATGTGATCTGTCAGCTTCCTGCTCCAGCCACCCACCACCATACCCTCACCCCTCATGGCCCACATTATGGATGCTAAACTTCTGGAATTGTAAGCCAAAATAAACTCTTCCATAAGTTGCTTATGGTCATGATATTTTAACACAGGAATAAAAAAACAATAACGACTGCCTTTGGTTTCCTTTCCTGTTACTGTGAGAAAATACCCAGACAAAGCCAGGTGGTGGTGGTGCATTCCTTTAAGCGCTTGGGAAGCAGAGGCAGGCAGATAGTCTGTTAGTCTGAGACCAGCCTGGTGTACATAGGGAGTTCCAGGCTAGGCAGGGCTACATAGTAAAACCCTGCCTCAAAACAACAACAAAGCAAACAAACAGATTCTAACAAAAGCAATTTAAGAAAGAAAGGGTCAACATGGCCCACAGTTCCAGGTTATATAGCCCATCATGGCAGCGCGAGAACTCGAAGGAGTTGGCCACATTGTAGCCAGAGTTAAGAATCAAAGATGGAAGAATGTAGGCTGACATTCAGCTCACTTTCTCCATTTTATACAGTCCAGGGTTCCTGACACTAGGAAGGGTCCCATCCACACCTAAGATGGGCCTTCACACATCAATTAACACAATCAAGATAATCTCCTGCAGAGGCATACCGTTTCCCTGGTGACTCTAGATTCCATCAGGTTGACAATTCACAATAGCCATTACATGCTCATATCTAGATGACTAGAGGGGCAGCTTGTCAGTTGGTTAAGGAATACTTTTGTTTGTTTGTTTTTGTTTTTTTCGAGGCAGTAAGGAATAACTTTTACAGCGTGAGCTTTTTTTTTCCTCCCTTGGGATTGGCTTTGTAAAGACATCCCGAGTTACTAGGGGTCAAACGGATGCCGGTTGGAGCCTGTTGGCTAAAGTGTAGATTCTTCTACAGTAGTGTCATGATGCCCTAAGACAGATTAGAACGTGTTAAGGAGAAGTCTTTCAGACCATACTTGGAATGAATAGCAGCCTTACTCAGATCATATCTTGTCCTGGGGCAGGAACAGCCCCATCCTTAGGCTGTAAAAGTTTAGCACAGCCATTTGTCCCAGATACCAGACTAGCAGCCAGAGCTTCCTGTACTTTCCTGTTGTAAAGGATGC